AATATGGGATCCACCCTTACTAATAACTGAACCAAAACTTACTTTTGTGTACTGCCAGTCTCCCTCGAATAAATTTCCGAAGATAGTTTGCTTGCCCTCTTTCTTCTTGCTCTTCAATTTTTGTTTTGAGATCACTGGTAGTCCTGTGGTATGCAGTTCTCCTAGGAGTTAGATAATCCAGGTTGGTTGCACAGGCAATGTAATAACGCTTCCAAGCGCCATATTCATTCTTTTCAGGAACATACGGAAGAAACCATCCTAACTTAAGGCATTTTGGCATCCACAGACAGTCCTTTAGTGAAGGAAGTGAAAACATGCTTTATTTTCAAAGAGAAGTTATTATCACAGCTTATCAAATCAAGTAAAGCATGACTTAATTGTTGATGACTAACATCAGATGTGTAAGAGAAGCAGATCTATGGGAATGAGGTACACAAATTCCAGCTTCTCCCTTTTCCTTGATTTGGAAGGTACATGCAATCTGTTTTATTTAAAAGCAATTTAAAGATAATTCCTTGGATTTTAACTCAGGAGCCGCATCATTTGCTTTAATTATAATGATCATAACAAGGCATGGAAATAGAAGAGATCTAGAAAACAATAAGTAAGACTGATAAATAGTACATAAATAAATAAATATAGAAGCAAGGTTATATTTAAATTCTGCTATTCCATATGTGTGAGAATTGGTGAATGGATCTGACAGATGCCACCTGAATGTAAAATTAATTATTGCCAATTTTTGTATTGGTATCAAGCGCACAGACATGAAGTTTTAAGTAAACTGATTTATTACTATTCATGCCTATGCACAGCAATCTACTCAATTAAAGATTAGCACTATTTTAGTGGTAGATAAAGGGTCACCTAAATTCGAGAAGGGTTGGTCTTAGCCCATTTGTGGCTACGTAGACTCTAGGCTGATTCCTTTTTTGACTCTGCCCCCCAGATTCTACCACTCCTCCTTCTCCTGACACTCTTTCTCCTACAATTGATAGTATTCCACTTTAAATTTGAATAAGGCCAATGAATTTTAATCGTTGAAAACAGGACTATTTTCCTTCCATATGGAATAAGAAAGATACCTTCTTCATCTAACGATTCAAGATTAGAAAAGAAATGGCTATAATTACGAGACAAGTAACACAAATGGGAAACTTCACTAGAGAATGTTACAAACGTTCATGTCATTTCAAATCAATGAGCATAAGAACATTTAACTTGGTGTTTAATTGGGATGACTACAACGTGTAACCCTCAGTCTCAGTTTTGAACTTGGCGGGGCTTATTCAAAGGGTGAAGGAGGGATGAGGAGCTATGGTCTTTGAATGTTGCTGAACTGCAATTCCCAGTATCTCACCATGGGTCACATAATCTGGAACAGCTGAGAGTTGAAATTCACTTAGATCATGGGTGTCAAACTGGCCACGTCACATGACGTGTCACGATATAGCGCAACTTTTTTTCAATTGCCGGAGCTGGGGTAGGCGTGGCCTCCATATGATGCAACCGGCCCGCGGGCTGGCAGTTTGACACCCCTGATTTAATGGACCATGGTTCTACAACTCTAGCATGTAGCATTGGCTTATCTGAAAACAAGGCATACGCTGATACTACCTGTTCAGTTAAAAATTTCCAGTGCCAATTGATTTGGGCTGCAGCACAAAGATCCCTTGGACTGAGAAAGGAGAATATATATAAAGATATGAAACGTGGCAGCAGAGTGGTGAAATCTACATGGCTCAGTGGGATATTTTCTACAAGCCATTTTCCAGCACACCTATGCAACAAAGAAGTAAAACACACACACACAAAAAAAAACAAAGTAAATTATAGAATCTAAGGAAATGTTTACATTTATTGCCAGGAGAAGATTATATAAATGTGAACTATGAACATTTAATGGGTAAGCCATGATTTTGAGATTCTCCACCCCCCCTTTGCCTCATCTATTCAGTTTGTCATGTTCACTTTCATTTTCATGTGGCAGCATCTCCTAAGGCAGGGCAACACTACTATTTTTGTCAGTGTCTGTGAATTGACATGATTATAATCTACAGGTTTATAAGGAAGCTAGTGGACAGGTTCAACTTTAGAAAAGGCCAGACTTAACATTAGATATCTGGAGGCCAAGATCTTAGGCCCCAGAGGCAGATCTCTATCAGATGTACTTTTCCCATTTTGGCCCACCTTCCCCCAATTTTTTGGAAAATAGGGCTGTGTATGGGACAAAATATATTTTACATCTCCCTTAACTCTTTTGCTTCATATTTTATCAAATAAGCCTATATCTTGTCATCAATACAGAAGTAATATTAAGGTGCTTGTGCCACTGGCTTCCATGTACATATTTTATAACACCCATGAACAAAGTTGCTAGAGCCACTACCCCAAAAACCCACAACTAAATCACAACTGTTAACTGAACAGGGAGAATTATTAAATGCCTAGTAAATAGCTATATTCACAATGTTAAATTAATTTGAAATAATTTTACAGTATATTTAGTTTCCGCTTTAGCTGTATGGAGATCTCAATGAGCTCCAGCTGATTAGAATTGGACTCTAGAAATTACAAACAATCTGCAGTAAATAATTCATATTATAGGAGGTGCCCTGGCATAATCTACTTTTTATTTTCACAAAGCATAGTATTAAAACAAGTGGCTCACTTACTTCAGCTGTGATTTACTGCACTTGTTCAATATCAAGAGGAGAAATTGCTTGCGTTGTTTGTCTGTCCACAAGTCAAACCAGTGGCTTATAAGTCTGATTCTTTCCTGATAAAGCTAAACAAAGCCACAAGGTGTTTTTTTTTAAATAAAAAAGACAGTTTGATAACATACAAGATTAGACCATTCCATGTGCAGTACTGCTAGTTTTTCACTGCAGGGTCATTTTATAATCTTATTAAAAGATGCAACTTGGGTAAGAACCTTAGACATTGGTTAACTTCAGTTTTCAACAGCCCTCAACATCGGCTGTGTTGGCCAGTGGTAATGACTTTAGCTACTACATCTGGAGGGCCAAAGATCCTCACATATGCTGCAAATCAAGCTTTTGAACAAAATCATTTATTATTAATAATAATAATATTAATATTAATAATATTAATAATAATAAAGTTGGAAGGGACCCTGGAGGTCATCGAGTCCAATCCCCTGCTCAGACAGGAAACCCTATACCATTTCGGACAAATGGCTGTCCAATTTCTTCTTAAAAACTTCCAGTGTTGGAGCATTCACCGCTTCTGGAGGCAGGTTGTTCCATTGGTTAATTGTTCTAACTGTCAGGAAGTTTCTCCTTAGTTCTAGGTTGCTTCTCTCCTTGATTAGTTTCCATCCATTGCTTCTTGTCCTGCCCTCAGGCGCTTTGGAGAATAGCTTGACTCCCTCTTCTTTGTGGCAGCCCCTGAGATATTGGGACAGTACTATTATGTCCCCCCTCGTCCTTCTCTTCGTTAAACTAAACATACCCAATTCCAGCAACCGTTCCTTATGTTTTAGCCTCCAGTCCCCTAATCATCTTTGTTGCTCTTCTCTGTACTCTTTCTAGAGTCTCAGCATCTTTTTTACATCGTGGTGACCAAAACTGGATGCAGTATTCCAAGTGTGGCCTTACCAAGGCATTGTAAAGTGATATTAATACTTCACGTGATCTTGATTCTATCCCTCTGTTAATGCAGCCCAGCACTG